CACTCTTTCTTCACTTTTTTCCCCTTGGATTTTTTTTTCCTAGGAAGGTAACATTGTACATGTCATTTTTTTAAAGAAATCTAGTTTTAAGAACATATTTTAACAGATACATCAAAGAAAAAAAAAATAAACATTCACTTTCATACAAATCACTCAAGCTGTACTAGGGAAATAAATCCAACAAAAAACAACAAACAAAAAGATCAATTACTTTGCATAATCATCAGAACTTAAGCTCATTGAAGTTTCATCAGAATCTGAAGCTATGAACTCATCCATGCTGTCTTCATCAAAATAGCCCTCAAAAGAGAAAAAAAGAGAAATGTTTTAAAGTATGCTCATCCAGAAGCTTTTATTAAACATTTAGCCATCTGCTTGTTCTTCATTTAAACAACAGTAAGTTCTACAAAGTGTTGGCCTTGCAAAATGTTTTGAGAATGACAACATACCCAGAAACAAAAATATGACAAAACCAGCAGCAATATTACCCCACAGCAACAAAGACTTCCATGAATTTGATGAAATTTTACCTAGCATTTGGCACAGCTTACTTGGAAATCTTGAAACGAGAGAGTATTTTGATATATCTAATTTACCTTATTTTCTTTGCTAATATAGTCCAGCTGCAAACACCAAGGGTGAGTCCAGATTCTGCTCAACATCTGGAAATCCTGGAATAGTTTCGCTCCAGCTTTGCCTCTTCCACCTTCATTGCCACTACCTACACCTGACAATAAAGTTCAGGTTTTAGAGTGAAACCTTGAAGTGAGTTTGCCACATACGGTTCCCCCTTTGAACAACCCATTAGTGCAGCATTGACTGTTCTTTCCAGATGCACATCATAGTGTAATGTCTCTTGTAAAAAAGGTCAAATTACTGAGTCACAGGCATTTTTTTCCTAGTTAAAGTTGTCAAAATTAGATTTTCCCCTTTTTCTTGATAATGAGAAACATGATTATATTTTTACATAAAAGCACATTTCTCCCTAGTACAGGAATGAATCAAAATCCTCTTAAAAGGGCAGCAATCTCTATTTAGGGTTTGTAAAAGCAGCCCAAGGTAGAACACACAAAGTAAAATCTGCATTTAAGTTTCAGTGACTTCGGCTTACTATTTTCAGCTACCTTTATTTAATGACTTGTAATTCTGCAATATTGTTACAATAAGGAATGTAGAAAACAGCCCAGCCTGTTTTTTTGTTGTCCAAACAAAAATCACTGCAAAGTAGTACAATGTTCAGAGTTACGTTTCTCTTCTGTAGCCTCAATTTCTCAATAAGCAGCACATTAACTTTAGGTTCTTCTAACAAACTGTTGGTATTTAGTTGTACAATTATTACTGGAGGTATCAGTAAAAATGAAATTACTTTCACTGGCCCTTCAAAACTCTTTCCTTCTATAACTAACAAAAGAGAGGTAACACACAGAACTGTAGAAATTAAGTTTAGTTAGCAGCTTATCTAGAAGATCACAAGCTGCAGTATCCAGAATTTAAAGTCATTAAGACAACAAAGTGAATTTCATCCTCCTATAAATCATAGCTTGAGATACATTTAATCTTTCTTGTAATTCAACTGGAGAAAGTAACCAGAATAGAAAAATACAGTTAAAAAAAAAAATCCATCAGCAACAGACAGGAATTTTAAGACAGGTGGCTTGGCAAGTAAAGAAAATAAATAAACTGGTACATTTTGTTATCACCACAAAAAGTTAATACATGCTGTAAGGTTTAGACAAAATCCTATCAGCGGTGCCTTAAACAATCTTGACTGTGGAATTCAACCCCTGACCATTAAGTCAATTACTATAAACTGTACGTAAAAACCCAGAATTGCTCCAGAACCCAAAAGCTGCTGATGAGGAATCTGACTGCCTGAAGCACAGCAGTGCCAAAAAACCTCATTAAAGGTTCCTGGAGATTCTCATTTTAATAGTTTACATTACCTGAAAGAATTGTAGGCGCATACCTGTCAAATGGTCCAAGTAGTATTGGTAGAGTTTGCACTGAAGAGGTGTCATTCGAACTTCTAGAACATACTCGTACTTTGGCGGGAGGAACTTTGTTAATGCTGTGTAATCTTTCCTCTGTAATTTTACCAACAGTACTTCAGTTATGTAAACATGAAAACGACTTCTGAGTGCTTAAGAACTTAAAACAACATAGCTTCATGCATAAATTACAATGATTTAGATGCTTTCCAACCACAAAGGGAAAAAAATAGCGTACTAAATCCAATCTAATTACAGATGCTGCCTGTAGAAGCCCATCTTACCTAGTAAATGCAGTTGTCTAGTCCAAAGTGTATGACCTGCTAACCCCATGTCCCAGTTCTAAGCCCTTGCAAAGCTGACTCCAACTTCAGTAGCTGCTCTGGTAACTACTTTTGTAGATTTTCTCTAAAACCTTTTCTTGTGAAAGTGTAGGCAACTCAAGCAATTAATATCCATGTTTATATCCCAGATAAACTCACTCACACCCAACTGTTTTCTGATCACACAGTTTCTATTTTGTTTGGGGCAATGCAAAATTACTAACTTGTTTTCACTTTTTCTACTCTGACACTCATCTATTTCTCTCCACCTACCCCCCCTTCATCCAAATGGTGAACAGCATATTGATCTGTCCAATAGCTTGTTGCACATTTCGGAGTGTTGCACATTCCTCAGAGCTGGCCCAGCTGGGCTGTGCTGCACAAACTCAGGACAGCTGCAGGAGACCTTGGCTCCCGCTTGCTGCCAACCATCACAGCACCTGCATGGCCTTGCTGCTGGCTAGATGTACAGCAAGAACTCTCCTGAGAACATCCTTAAGGAACAGGGTTGTCCTCTTCTAAGGAAATTTTATAGTAGCTTTAATGACCAGAAGGGCAAGCTGCTTCCTAAGGACACAAGCAGCTCCGTGCAGCTGTGAGAAAATTAATCTGGGCTCTGTTTGATGGTGCACAAAGACAGGGTGGGGCAATGACCACCTCAAGGCATGCAAGATTTATCTGCTATTTATTTTCCTCCTCTTGTTTTGTCTTTGGTTTGTGTTCCTGTCCTGCTGTATAGATGTATAAAATTATGCATGCTATCATCTCACTACTATTCATATTTCAAAGACCCTAATTTTATGACAGAAAGTTCTTTATCACTCTTACATACAGTCCTAAGCCTTTTTCTTTTTCTCCAGGAGAACAAAATACCTGCTTGTGGGACTATTTCACTATGACCATTTCACCCAGCTCAAGTCCACTTGGACTATTTAATCAACTACCAACAAGTGCACAGGGAGAAAGAGGTGCTTAGTGCTTACAGAGCAGCACATCTTTGATCAGACTGATGTAGGTAGATTTATTTTGGTTTTCCATCTAAGGTATTTAAGGTATCAAGTTCTTCATCCTTTTGGACTTGATTATCTTCCTTCTCTCTCCCATTTTTCTGACTCTTAAAAATCATCAAAAATAGGAATTCAGAACCAACTGACAAACTATGGATCACCAGCTTTCTGTGCAGCTGTTAAAGGTAATTGTATTCTTTAAATGTGTACATGGAATTAAAAGAGAGTATTTCAAAGTAACAGATGTCCTACTCCATCACAGAATTTTCTGGTCTCCTAGCAGGCAAACAGCAGAATTCTATAATACATGTATATGTCCTGCTTATGATAAAGTGACATTTGCATAAAAACTGTGACATTTTGTAAATTTCTCTAGTCACAATGAACAATGCAGAGATCAAGTAACTTGTGAAAATACTTAAGTAAAAAATAATAGCTGGATTCAGCGGAGCTCTCAAGTAGCAAGTCTACAGGCCTTTGAGTGATTTTATCAGAATGAGACAAAACTCCTCCCCTTTCCTGCATGTAAATCAAGTAACTAGTTCCAGTAAAATTGTTCTTACCTGAACACATCCAGCTAACATCTCATAGAGAATATGTGCACGCTTCTTCATCACTCTGACATCTACCAGAGTGGAGTCTGCACACTGACCGTTCTGAATCGGGTTTATAAATCTATTTCGGAATTCCTTAATTGAACCAAGCAAATTCTCCTTAATAAAGTTAACCATGCAGTGATCTAGGACAAAAAGATCAGACTTTAGCTGTTCAAAATTGAAAGTAAAGTACTGGGATTAATTCTAACCAAAACCAAACATATCGTGTGTGAAACTAGGAACTTGTTGTCGAGCAAAAAAAAAACCCAAACAACCCAAATATTTTCTAGAAAGGACATCTTACATATACTCAAGGCACAGAGGTAACTTCTAATTTTAATGTCAGATTTAAAACTACCTCATTGTGCTCGTCACACAAAATTTGGAAGCTCCTGTACACCAAAGTAAATAACTAACTCATATAACTAAATCATATCTGTAAATATTTTTAAACAGATTCAAAAGCATATTAATCAATAGGAACAAACGTTACAGCATGTTAACAAGCAGAAACAAAAGTAACAAGCTAGGTCAGAATGACGTTCCCAAGACAGTAACATAAATCACTGTTTAAAAAGTTCACTAAGAACACTGCTGTACAATGTTTTAAAACAATTGATGCTGCTGCAAAACCTGGTCCACCCATTTCCCTCTGAACATCCTCTCCCTTCCCCTCTTGACACACTGTGACTCACCTGTTCCTTTGATCAGCGACATCAAGAACTAAAATGTCAGAAAGCTATTGCTAATAGTCTGATACTCTTCACACTGACTGAGCAACCAGATGTTTGCATGGCCATGCCAAGGGAAAGGTTGGAGGAAAGGGGAGAACACCAACAAGTTCATTCACTTTAGCTTACACCATAATGGAGTCACATCTTGAGACAATGATTTTAAAGGCAAAAAGCAAAACCAGATTTTTAGAGGGTTTTAGATATAGCAACCTAGCAAATAGCTTCACTCTATTGTATTATTTTCTTCTAATCAAATTAAATCTATGTATTGCTGAAAGACAGAATTATATTCAAGGACAAACACTTAAGCCAGAGAACTACTCACATTCTATAAGATTATTCTGCAGTGGTGTTCCTGTGAGAATTATTCTTCTCCTAGATCGAATAGAATTCATTGCCTTAGAAACAGCAGATGCTTCATTTTTCAGTATGTGCCCTTCATCACAAACAACGAAGTCGGGGCCTAGAAAGAAACAACATTAGATTTCTCATCTTTTGTAACCATAAAGAAACTGGCAGTCTAAAGAAGCCAAAATTTATTCTGCTAGTGTTAGGAAGTTGTGGTTTTTAACTTTTTCGTGTGTGTGTTTGTCTTTTTTAGTACTGTTAAGGTTCTCACTCAGCCTTTGCACAAGCATTCACAGGAGACATTCTGATAAACTACAGGCTTGTAAAGTCTTCATGGGAAGGATTAAACACAGCTCTACAATATATTCCTGTTGAAATTATCTATCCATGCAGCTCATGGTGCGTACATCTACATTTCTATGCACTCTGTCAAAACTTCATAAAACTGTTCCTTAAATTCAGCTTTGGCTGCCATCTACTGGTGCTCAGTTAATTCTAAAGAAAACAAAATCAGATAACCAGGCATTTTTCATTAAGGCAACAGGTCAATAGGGGTAAAGTGCAATCAAAAGTCTTATTAAGATAAGGCACAATCAAATCTAATTTGAATGACAGACAAGTGAATTGCCACCTGGGAGCTGAAAGTCATCACAGAAACGTCCTCAGCTTTCTTCCAGAAGACAAACTCACAGATTCTAAACTGCTCTTTTAGGTGAGCTGCACAAGGAATGTCAAAACCACAGCACATTTCCATGGTATGCAAGGCAACTCTAATAGAACTACTAAGCATTACAATTTGGAGTTTCAGACAAATACCTCCAAACTTGGCAGAACAGACTTACACGCCTTAACGCTTTTTAGATCTGGGGCAGTTTCTGGAAACTCTTTCCTTGAAATGAGAGGTGAAAGATATTCTAGGATCCCACTGGTAACTTACTATGAATGTTTTACCAGATCTAAACCTGACCTCAATTCCAGTACTATCAGCCATGAAGTCAGCTGATGTCAAGTTAATGCACCTTTGAAAAATGCTATGAAAAGCCAGAGGCGAACAATGAACCCAGTTGGTAAGAAGGCTGATATTTGAGGTGGCAAAGGAGTTTATCAGCATGGACAATGTAGTACTTTATAACTTATTAAGAGCAGTTTTCCTCAGACTAACTTTTAACTGCCTTGCAAAGAAGAAAATTAATCCCAGGCCAGTGATCAATAACAGAATCAGTCACACCTTTGACCATTTCTATGACTTAATGTCAGGGCCAGTCATCTTAATCATGCCATTTCATGTGTCAAAAATGTATTTTAATCTTACATGTTAACAGAAAAAGAACCAAGAAGATATTTCTTTCCAGGCTGAATAACCAAGTTTAGAAGACAATTACAAAAATCCACATATGAATTCCAAACACACTTAGACTTCTCCAAGCCTACTTATTTCTGAATTCTCACACCTGCCACAGAATTTTTGTACCTTTTCCAGTTCTGAGAGCACACAAAACAGTTGAGTGGCTACACACAAAGCCCTCCTATAATTTTAGGCAACATTCCTGAACAGTGACAGATCTTCCTTCCAGTCTTCATTCCACTGTTTCCTTAAGAGTAAGGATCTTGCAAGCAAGCTGTTCATGCAGAGTACAGTACTACTGAGATGGTTTAGAGCAATCTTCTAGAACCGAAGCATTTGCAACATCTCCCCTCCAGATGTGACAGCTTGCACATTAATATATCCTTCTCAGAAATAGATTTAGTCTAGTGCATTATGTTTACCATCAGAATCAAAGTATATCACAGTAGAAGGATAATGAAGTCATGATGATAGACAGCAATCAAACCCATGCAAAAACCCCAGAAATCAGTTTCAGTAAAGGCTGTGATTCATTAACACAAAGTGGCTAGTTAAAAAAAACAACAAAAAAACCCCTCAAAACTGTTGTTCAGAGTAAGTGAATGATAGTAAAAATGTGAAAAAGCTACCTTAGCAAAATTATTCGTGGTTTGTTTGGCAGGCATATAGCACTGATATCTTGAGCTAACATCTTGGCTACAATTCCATGGCAGGGATTTTCATAAATTTGTGGGGTTTTCCCTTGTTCTTAAAAAACATGAATGCCATTCATTACAAGCAAAACATTCCTCTAAGTACTATAGAGGAATGTAAAACTTAAAAGGAACCTTAAGAGTTCATGTGCTTCATTTTCTTCATCTGAGATTAGAGTTACAAGAAAGGGACATAATCCTCCTAAACAGACATAGGAAACTCCATGACCTCTCCTTTGCTCAAACAGTCAGCAATAATACCTAATTTAAGTAATCTCTGCTGTAAATTAGAATAAATTCTGCCCTTTCCTTTCTCCAACTCAAGTAAAAGCCAAATGATAACTGTCCTTCCAGTAACCAGCTCTTATATGGTGCAAGATTTGTCAGTTTAGCTGACTTTTTTCTAGGCTAAAAAACCCTACTCCTCTCAATCTTTCCTCAAAGCTTCTAATTTTTCTTGCTGTACTTGCACGTTAATATATTGGTACTCATACAACATAATCAGTGATAGCAATAGATACATATACAGTTCTCCTTTTCCTTTGAAGTCTAACAGAACAGTCTGCTTTATACAACTGCCAATTAAAGAACAGGTTCCAAGTTAAACAGCAATGGAATTTTTAATAGTAGAAGTAAGTAAAAAAATACCATGTTATTGAACTGCTGCAAGCAAAGCACAACAGCTATCAATAAACTCACCAGTTGCACAAAACATTCTGGGAAATAACTTGTTGCTCTGCATATGTATATAATCCTACTATGACTTCCCACAGCAGAGCCAGTTAATTAATGAAATCACTTCTCACACAACTTCTCCACCCATTAACTTTGGCTAAAACCGCCCTCTCTGGTCCCTTCTTCTGTAGTACACAGAGGAATTCTTGACTTCTACTAGAGTGTATCTACTCTAGCAGTATTGATTATAATCATACACATATCATTAAATGATTGCTTAAATACTAAATTTGCAACTTTTTAAATTAAAAATGTTCCCAGAGGCAAACATTTTCCTATTTACAGTCACAGCAGGAAGACAGCACATAGCTTCATAACTCTTGTCATGGCAGCCTGCTATATGGCCAATGCTGCGATTCACAAAGAGCAAGAAACAACTCACAGTTGTGGCAAGATACTTCTCGTCAATTTAGCCAATCCAAAAGGCTCCAAAAACTAACCAATTAACAACAGGTAAAAAATTCTGTCTATTTGTAAACAGTTAAAATAGAGAAAGACTTGAAGCAACATAAAAATAATTAAAGTTAATTCAAGGTTAATTTTCCTAACAATCTGATTCCATCCTACCAACCACTAAGAAAAGAATGAAACAGGAAGTTCTATTTTCACATGCAAAGGCTCAACGTGCCTCCTCCATAAAAACTGAATGTCCAACATGCCACCTCACTCCACAGTCTAGTGGATGTTAGATACACATCCATGAAGAAAGGGACAATGTTACTATAAAAACACACGGTAAAATCCTCTATGTTTAGCTTCCCTTACACTTTCCATGAGGCAAAACCCCATACAATCAACCCGTATAGGAGATTATAGCACTTTATTTCACCAAAACATGACCAACATCACCACTACTTCAAGACAACAGCTCACACCTTTTCTTTTCCAGTTCCTGGCAACACTCTCAACAGATCAGATACAGGATATGACTGACAGCACAGGGTTCTCCCCCACCTTTTTTTTTCCCACTTGCTTTTAGAAACTAAAGCATAATAGGAGTCAGAAAACCTGCTGGCAAGAAATCCATTTTCTTCATTGCTTCAATAATACATGTGGATTCAACATGGTCATAAAAATAGATTATCAGCAACTGTGCTCAAGCTTCCCTGACTCCACAGCAATTATGAGACGTAGTGCGACAAACTGGCAGAAAATTAATGTTTAAGCTGCTCAAACAGGCCTTCTGCAGAGTTAGAGATGCCAATTCCAACTGGCCAATGCCAGTAATCATAAAGTTATTTTTCCTATTAGAATAATCCCCTTGCCTATCAGAAAAAAATTCACAGCCCTATTATTATTTGAAGCTACACAAAATCAAGCTCACCAAGTACAATTATAAACCAGACCAATGCTTTATTTCAGGAAGAAAAGAGCTGTTCTCAGGTATCAGTTGCTAGTTCAGAATTTGTAAGAAAATTTTGCTATTTTGGTGAAACTTTCTCATTTTAAAATTTTTAGTTCTTTTTTGGGGCCATGTGATAGATTGGTTCTAGCAACTTGGAACATTTTCAAGTGCTTAAGTCCATGCTTATGTAAATTTGCCCAGTTCAGCAGACTTTAAGCCAGACATCCCCTCCTTAGACTGAAAAAAAGAATTAAGGGCTTTACCTACAATCAATTCATTAGTACCTACTGCCACTTTATTGTTAACACTGCTAAGGTACATTCTCAACTATTTTTCAGGCACAATGGATCCCTTAAAGGCAGGTTTCTATGAAGGATAAAGCAATTTGTGATCATAACAGATTAGCAGATTAAGATAACCTCAGGTTCCCAACACAAGTCACTTCGCCTTGCAAAAAAAGCAATGCCTGCAAAAAAAGATATCTATTAGGAAAAGTTTCCAGTATGCATTCCTGTACTCATTTGATTTAACAGAAAATTTTGTTATAGAAGTCTATTTACAAAAACAGATGAGCTAGTTTCTCAACAACAATTTCTGTGACTCAGCAAAAGCCAACAAAGGGAATCTGAAATGTAACCTTATTGTTTTATTTTCCCAACAGATTTCCATTTTGCAGGATTACTTGGATCATACATGTAAATCAGAGAGTACAATATATGTAACAACACATACCTGCACTCATTTTCACTTACCTGGATCAACTAAAGCTTTATTAAATATTTCCTTAAGTTTCCTACTCTTCACATTCCTGCCTTGTGCCAGGTTACGATACATCTCGTAGCCTATTATCATCACTCCTCCTTCATCCTGCCAGCGCTGGAGCATGTAGCTCCTCTCTTGAGGACGTTTCACAGTTGCTAGTTCACAGACCTTTCAAAGGGGGAAAAATATGCTTGAATATCTCTTAAAACACTGAAGCACTCAAGTAAATCTTTAAAACCTAAGGCTTATCGATACAAGTAGATTTTTTACAGACATAAGAGTCCATTCCTCAGGCTGTATTTTGAGTGGTGAAGCTTCCTAATTATGTAAACTGTTATTTTTTTAAGAATTCTTTTAAAGCCTTTATACCTCCAGCCTTTCCTCATCTTCTAAACTTTCTTGCCATTTTTCAAACTCATTCAACCAGTTCAAGGCAGTGTTCAGTGGACACACCACCAAAGCTGTCCGAAAATCCAGTTTATCACACAGCAAGACTGTGTGAAGAAAACTTACTACCTGCAGGAGGAAAAAAAGAGACAAAAGGTCAAATAAATGCTGAGTATTAAACACTAGGAAAGAAAATCACAAGTATATATTCACATATAGAACTTACCGACAGTAGTGTTTTTCAAACACTCTTTTTCTGTTAAAAAAACCTCACTGCTTAAAATTTAATACACATGTATTTTGAGGTCATGTACTTACTACTCTATGTTATGTGGCTGCATACACATCCTTCACATTCTGAGATCCATGCAGTTTTGAATTGCAACAGATAGCTGAACACTTTCACAAATAAGGAACCCTCCCTTTACATGTCACCAATCATTTTCATAAACTAGGAAGATGTATTTTTATGCTTTCTCCCAATACTTGCCCCAAACTTAAACAAGTTCACCTCTTTCAACTTCATAAATGGGTCAAGTCTCTTGAAAGTGAAATTTTTAAATCAGTTTTTTCCACATTTTTTCAACATATTGGCAAATTCTTTCAAAAGAGGTCTGAAGCAGGTTATTGAAATGCTTTCCAAGCATTCACCCTGTAGCCAGACTGGCTACATGTTGCAGATAATAAGACTTCCTTAAGGCCTGAGGAAAAAAACTTAAAACTTTTATCATCACTCAGTGCTTCTGGGGTGCCTGGTTTTGAGTGGTAGCAAACAGAGAGGACTAGAGGGAACCTGTAAAAATGTGGGAGCAGAAAAGTCAGCAATCCCATGGCAGCTCCAGCTCTCACATCAGGCTTGTGATGGCAAAGGCTGCACTTAATCCACGTAAGTGTACAACATCTGATTAGTTCTTTCTGGAACGAATTCTGGTACCTGGCAACTCTGATTTAATACACTGTTCAAAGTAATTTCAAAACTGCATGACTATGTTAGGAACACCTAAGCTACACTTAAGCACGTAAAACTACTCTTCAAATGTGATTTTCAAAGTCACTTCTTTTCTACAGGACTGTAGATTGTCAAAATATTGTGTCACCCCAAATTCCATAAACAAAGCAAAGCTGCAAAAATTGGAATTCTTAAACACCAACTGTCCACATGCTGTGCAGCACAAATGAATAAGTCTGCAGCTTGTTTTACCTGAACAGCACACACAGCAATGATGGCAGTCCCTCTGAGAGCAGCATAGCTCTGCCATTGACAACAGCCCAGCAACCCCACAAAACCCCCCTGAATGAGAAAACCACAATAAGCAAGCTTCCTTGAGCCTGCTTTTTTGCAGAGGAATTTAGGGGATCTACAGAGTCTGAAGATGTTCTGCCAGCCTAAGTGTTCCATAACTACATCCTGGAATTCATAAATCAAGAAAGAAGATTCTCAGAATCAGAAAAGTCCTAAATAAAATCTGCCTGAATTAGGTCAGAGGACAGCAGGAGTTGGTATTACTTATGTAACCTCACTTTTTGAAGAATGCTGGGTAGCAATGATTTAGAGGAAAGACAAGGAAGACATGGAAGCCATCTGATCCAGTAAGACCTGTTTAACACTAGCAAAGAATAAGAGATACCTCCTGGTAGATTCTTTTGGAGCATATTTCAAGTGTCTAAAAGTCTTCAAGTCAAGCAAAGTCTGCTCTCTGGCAGCATCCAGGTGTGCCGACTTTGCCACACACCAACAAGCACAGCAGATGTAAGCACTGCAGAGAGTAAAAGCTTCTGAGATGCCAAACACAGAGGTGTCAAACATTAACTGCTTTGTCGACAGGATCTTACAGCATCTTGTTCGCCAAGTGACTCACGAGGTTGTAAAGCTGGCTGTGGTCACTGGCAGACTATGAATCTAGCTATGGCACAAAAATGTGTGGCACAAAACGTGGCACAAAAATCTTTCATATAGCTTGGAATTCCAGTACATTGAGATACTGACCTCTCTAGAATGAACAGATCTTGAGCCTTCAGGTCAGGTGATAGGGCTTCCCATTCCAATGGGGAAGCTTCTACCACAACTGACCAAGATGGAAGAGGAAGGTGAGATGGCATTTCCTCACAGACGCTTTAGAGGATCCCATCCTCACTGTAGGAAGAAAATAACCTCTTTGAGAACCATCATCACCATGCTGAAGAGACTATGCTCCAGGGAATGAGTAAAGTGCATCCACATTTGGAGCATGTGAAGAAAAGATTTAGAATGAAATGTTGTGCCAGTGCTCGCTGCTAATGTGACCTAGAGTTGTTGGTGACAAACTCACCAGAACACTAGGCAGATGGCCTGTCCAGTGACTTCACAGCTAAGAAATGATCCTGGCACAGGAAGGCCTTGACTGACCATGAGTTAATTTATCAATTCAAATGTCTGTAGAAGCTGCAAGTTGGATTTCTAATGATTCAGCTTATACCACATACCAAAAATGTTCACAGTAATTCATTCCACTTGCCAGCTGTCCACACTGAAAGATACAGGACTATCTTCCTCCTCCAGAAATGAGGAGACACAGCATCAGTGAAGGCCAACAGCATAGACACTAGCCCTGCTTTTACAAGGGTGTTTTCAAGCACATACAAAGTCATTATCCTCCTTTCCTCTTCAGAGCTCTCAAAAATTTCCCATCCACCGTTCCAGAACCAGAGGAAAAGGTTCCTCTGTAAAATGACCATCTACTAAAGGAATTTGTCCTGGCAGCAGAACAGCAAGAAAGGGCAACCCACCCCAGTTCCTTGCTCATGTTATTTGTGGTGACGCTACATCTGGCTAAATGTAAAACTGAAGTTTAAGAAGACAGATCGATACTGTGAAACACTCCTGACTACCCTGAAAAGGTACTGGCATGAATACTGAGGTGCAGGGAAGTCCAGAAAATTGCATTTGATCTTTTGCCTCTCTGAAAGTCAAGGGCATAAGCATCTCCTGAGGCCTACAATGATTGTAAGAGACCCAAGAAAAAGAGCTATGAGCACTGTTTTGCAGCAACTGCTTGGTTGATCAGTTTCAGAGGAAACATTTTAGGATGGTGATTGAGCTTTAGATTTTAAAGACTAACAGAAATGCTAAGTTGTCAACTGCACAAGTTTTAATATGGCAGAAGAGCCACACGTACCAGACCCATATCTTTATGTAAGAACTGCTACAATATTCTGTTTTAAAGATTTTCATAAAGCAGTCTTCAGCAGCGTACAGGAGAAGGAACACGCGCTGAAGTAACAATGAAGGCTTGAAACTGAAGATCTCAGGAAGCAAAGAATTGCAAAGGGAAAGAAAATAAATAAGTGAAAAAGGGGTTGAAATTATGCCCTACAGTTAACTGCCAACACAACTAAAGTTTCTGGTCTTAATTGTTTGTAATGCACAACAATCCAAAAACATGAACATACATATGGACAATTACTGAAACAAAAAAACATATGCCCCTTGTCCCTCAACCCAGAAGAGTTTAAATTGTAGCAAAATATTGTTTATATTGAAACACAAATCATCTGACTTCAGACACAAAGTCTGGCATTAAAAACTAAACAAAAACCTGATAAACCTCTACTTTATCAGTTCAACAAAATTAAACAAAAAAACAAAACCACTGAGGAAAATAGATAATTCAAGGAGCAACACATGAATGCAACACAACCTGCTTAAGCTTATTAAACTGTCATACAAACACAGGTTTCAGAAACCTGTCTCCTATTAGCTGTATGTTCTTGTTTTGAGTTTTAAGGGAGCAACACATCACTTTAAAATTAAATATGAACTTTTCACATGAATATCAATTATTACCTTCTTTAATTTTAGATAATTTAAATTTGGAGGAAACACAAACATGTTATCAGAACTTTCACAGCTGTAACTATGAAAAACAACTTCAAGACCTCTTTACAAAAGGTCTTCCTCCAGTAACCTTCATCAAGTCATTGCCTAGGAAAAAGTTAAGTTTTAGTATCTTCTGAAAGTCGTTAAACTTGCCTTTTGCTGGACCAGCTTTTGAAAGCAAGGTACTGCTCAGAAAAGAAGATGACTTGTTTTTCTTACCTGCAATGTTTTCCCCAGACCCATACAGTGAGCCAGAATGCATCCAGAACCAGGAGATGACTTCGTTTTTTTTACAGATTCACAACAGCAATCCCACATGAACTGAACACCTGAAGAAAATCATTGAGTGTTTTCTTATTAAACATTCATTTTACTAAAGTTCACGTAATAAGAGATAGGTGTGATCACTCTGAGATCTTGGTAACTCTTAGAAAAGCAGTGCTCAGGATAATTAGTTTCTGTCCAGTGGGTTGTATGGGGGATGATCTTTGCCTTGAGCTTAATTATATTCAGTTTTCACTGCAGATGTGGTAATTGGATTAGAAAATATTACTACGCAGACTACAGATTACTGCAATGCTGGGGACAAAAGAAGACAGAAAAGTGGCAAGGACATCATGAAAATACTAAAATGATAGTGGTAATTTAGCAAAATTATCTGAAACCAACTAAAATAAATTCTGCCAACACAGATCGGATGTGAAGTCTAAAGTCCTCTCCTTGAAGAGGAAAAAAAAAATAATCTAAGAACTGTGACAGCTGAGAAATGAGAGGAAATATACACTATGTAACAAAACTGCATTAACAACATGAAGGTCTGCCGGGTGGTGGGGTTTTTTTTCTTTGCATATATTTATACATATACATATATGTTCTGGTTTGAGGCAGGATTAAGCCCGTTTTCCTTTTACTGATTTTTTTTTTCCTTCAGTAAGCTTTCTTTTAACTAGCAACTGTGTGTTCTGCTAGGTTGATAAGGCAGTGGAATGTTTTTCTAACTACTGAGGCTTCAAGGTCACACCTTCACTCTGCCGGCTCAGACACTACTGGGAGATCTGTGACCCCCCCGTAGGAGGCTGGGTTAGACAGACAGCAAAATTGGCCAGAGATATTCCATTCCATATATCTATGTAAGCTCACAGGAAGGTCAGAGATCACAGAAGACAACTTCCTTCCTTCTTCTTCTCCCCTTCTCTTCCGTCCATGGCCGGAGTCCGGGGAGGACTCTGTTCATCCATCACCATCGACCCTTAGACTTGAGATCTCCTGCCCCTCATAACTCTTCGCTTTCTTCAGCAGCAGCTCTGGGATTCCTCGGGACTTTTGCCAGCTCAGAGGAGTGCTGTGGGAATTGGTGGGGGGGGTGGGGAGGCAAGAGGCTTTTGCCCATACCTGAACATATTTGTATATAATTGTATATGTTCTCTTATATCATTCATTAGGGTTTTAATTAAAGCTGTGTAGTTTAGTTTTCAATCCAGCCAAGTCTCTCCCTTTTTCTCTCTCTCCTTCCCTACCTGGGTGGGAGGGGGAGGGGATTGAGAGCATTGTCGGACCTGAGTCAAATGGTGACAATATAATATTTATATTTACTGGGGAGTTGTGTTCTACTATGCTATACTTGGCACAGATGAGGCTTCAACTTGGCTGCTGTGACTGTTTTGGGGCACCTCCCTTTAAGAATTGAAGCAAGTCCAGAAGTTCCTTTGTAAAATGGAAAGGTTGTAGATTGTGAATGTTGAGGAAAATCTAAAATAGCAGAATGAGGAGTGAAGAAAAATAAGATTGGCTGTTCTCCTTTTCTTCCTCTTCACTAGAAACAGAATATGGAAAAAAGTCTGCTTGATTTGCAGTCATGTCAAGTACCAGGAATAAACAGTTCTGTTGACAAAGCCAGGAAAATACGGCAAGATTTTAAAATCTGCTCTGAAAGCTGTAAAAACTGAGTATACTAATTCCTCAATAGACTGGGTAAACGTGTATTTGATTCTGCCTCAGTGTGGAGAATTAGATGATTCTGAGGACCCTTCCAACTTTACATGTTTCTAAGCTTTTTAGCCTGTAAAACAGAACTATGTATTGCTGATCTCTTTTTCTTGGTCCAGATGTTCCAAAAATAAAGCATTAAACCTGATATTCTGGCACTTGTCTGCCAATAAGTTTTTCTCATTATTCTAATTCAGGATGCTTAAAGTGCTGTGCCATTGAAGGGAAACAATAAAGTATTTTTTTAAAAGTAAAAGCTCGTTCCTTACCGTCTACTTGGTGTGGTTTCAGTTTGGTAACTATACTCCTGTGAACCTGCACTAATGGTTCTTTGGTTTCTTCATCTTCATCTAAAACCAGCTTAGTTGTAATGGGACACTTCAGAGGTGAAGCATCTTCTATCTCTATCACCTGTAAGAAGAAATTGTGTACCATAGGAACACTTCACATGAAAATAATACCAAGCATTTGACAGACACTAGCCTTACCAAACTGGAAAACATCATTTATTTAGGAAAGAGAGTCCTTAAATTCTTTCAACTCCTGTCACAACCTACTTTGGGAGAGTGCTTTTCTCCAGGGAAAGTAAAGCAGTAGGAAACTGAAAAAGTTTCCTTAAGATCTAAATAGTCTTAAATAAAATTTACAAATGTTAACCTGCAGGAAAAAAATACATAAAGCTTGTGGCTTACAAGGCTACATAAGTACTTTTAAAATTACTTCTCAAATTAAATTGTGGTGGAAACATGTTGCCTTAAACACCATCAACCACTCAATTTCCCAGCATTCCACACAGAAAACAGAACATACCTCTCTCAGTTTCTCTCTCTCCCGTTCTCTTTCTGCTATACGTTTTCTTCTCTCTTCTTCTTCTTTAAGTGCATTCTGTGTTTCTGTTCTAAGCTTATCATCTTTAATAATTTTCCTTATTTTCTTCCTGCCTTTTCCAGGAGATTTTGAATCATCATTTTCTTCATCCTCAGAATTACTCTATTACAAATAACATAAATTAAGTATTAGCAGGAATATTGTGACACAGATAAATCAAATCCTTAATTTGCAGACAAGCTCCCAAAAACTTTTATATACACAGATGAAATTTAGCTCAAACGAAAAGATACTTTAAAAAACAAGTTAGGCAGCACAACAAAAGTGCCACCTTAACTATAATATATTCTGAGATATAAGCCCAGCTGTGCAAAGGCAGTACTGAAGGTATTGTTAACATTTGATAGAACTAATGACTATTAATACAGAGCTGTTTTTCTGTTCTAGTGGTGCTAGATCAGATCAGTTATCACCTTCTCCACGTGTGAAAAGAAAATCTAATACTAGGAAAGCCTTACAATGTTTGCGTCATCTTCTACACCTAGTTTAAAAATTTGATTTACTTAAAAGGTATCATGTATTTTTAAGAAAATCTAGACAGGAAGTTGTTTTAATTAAACACACTGTTTTTGCTCCAAAATGTGTCATTTTACAAATTTTATCACTGAATTAACATAAACAAAACTTATAATTTTTTACTGCACTTTGTACAGAGCTGTTTGACATACCCAAGTCTAAGCAGTTGGCAGAGGAGACAGGAACTCCTTTTCCCATATATTAATTCAAAACACAATGTAGTACCTTATTGTTGTTTTCACTCGAAGAATCCTCTTGAACCTTTATACGCCTTCGTTTCTTCTTCTGCTTGTAACTGCGTTGGTTTTCTTCTGCCTCAGCCTTCTTGGCAGATCTGTAAAAAACAAAGGCAGTCTTGCTGATTAACAATAATAATTCATTTCCTCGCTGAAAAACAGTGATAACAAAGTACATGAATTACATTGATAATTAATAGATTATTTATTTATTTATTTATTTTTGTGCAATCAAAGGTTTGCTTCCAAATTCCTTCCTTCCCCTCAACTCACTGGGCACAGAGAGCAACAGCCTATTTCAGACAACCCTGAAAAATCTCAGAATAGTTAAGCCAGTTTTCTACTGCAAACCACCATTCCTCAATTGACATTGACATGTTTGGCATAAAAATGCCTATTATTATTCCTTTTCTGTACTGGCTCATCAAGTTGCTGTGTACCTCACACAGTGGTACAAATTTAGAAGTCTCACATTTGCTGCAAACTTAGTTAGAAAACACCAAGCTGTAGGCAAGAATCATCAACATGTTTAGGTGCTGATCCAAAGTCTTTAACTTTCACCATCTTGCTGCCTAAATTGCCCTATTAAGAACTAAACACCAAGCATAGGATAAGTACAGTTAAGTTTCACGTATACCTTGTTCTTGGACGTTGTTCATCTTCAGACTCACTGACTTCCTCACTAACTGCAGACTCATGAAACTCGGAGTCATTTGAATCATCACTGCTCACTTTAAAAATAAAGTACAATTTAATGTTGAATATTATCGCACAGTTAGCAACATCAGATATCTTCCAATTATACAAACTTTTTAAAATCAACAAGTACCACAAAAAGTTCATTTCAGACAGTATGGGACCCATCAAACATACTAATATGGAACAGAAATACAGAGTAGGAAGTAGAAAAGTTTAACCTGTGAGCACTACCCAAGTTCTGACAGATGATATACTATGCCAACAACACTTGATGCCTTTATCCATTAATACATTCAAGGATAATTTATAAGCAAATGACAAAAAGCATTATACTAGAATATGCCATGTTTCAAAGCCAGTGGGTGAGGACAGAAAACAATGGGAAGCATTACAGAACTTCAGAAAACAAAGGATGATGCTTTTGTTAAACAGAAGCTTTTGTTTCCAATATTTTAGATGTCATTTTATAATCACATTTCACAGTTCATGCAAACAACTCTTACTTATTAATAAATATGCAATTCTGTTACTGTATTTATGGCCTGAAGTTTCTTCAGGTAATACAAGCTTAAACCTGACTCAAAGGTCAAACAAAAATACACCTAAACTAGCAGTATTTAGGTATTTCTTCCATAGAGACTTTCAAGAGCTACCACAAGGTATTGATAATACCTTGTAACTTCAGTTTGACCTTGAACAGAGTGGAAAGCCTAACTGGTTTGTGACTAAGCACGTTTAAAACAAGGATTGCTTTACATACAAGGGCAAATGTAATATTAGTAACAGGGCTAAAAAATATTGAGCTGAAATATGTGGTTCTATGTGAGAGTAGTGACTTATACTAAAGAATCCTGAGCACACTGTCACTGCAATTTACAATTATTTTTCTTGAAAGAAATGTTGTTGGCAAGAGTCATCATTCCATAAGGGTGGAAAAACAAAAGTACGAGAGCTGTCATTAAAGAAAACAATAAACAAACTGCACTGCACCTTTTAGTCTGTGGCACACAGCCAAGCTGGCTAGCATTCATGCAACACCAAACACAGCAAAGCACTGCACCTTTTCTTCCATGGAACACTATCAGCATCTACATTGACCAAGGTGGCAGTGTGCATTTATCTTGACTATCACCCCCCTCCTCTGCTCAGGGTGACTCAATGCAAGGGGCTGACAGATTCTTTGTTCTTGCATGCAACAATCAAAATGAAAAAAATCAGCCAGGCACCACTTCACAGTGCCATCTGGTGTTGAACTGAAGCTTGCAACATTTTAATTCCAGGATGGAGAAAGGTTTGATGCACAAGGGCCTACTAACAGCTTGAGTTAATTTCCACAAAGTAGACATACTGGGACTGCCTCTGTTGTTTAAGATTAGTATTCTAAGACTCAACAAGATTAATCCAATTCAGAGGATATAATCAGTGGGGAACACTGCATTTGTACTCAACATTTTCAACAAAACTATTTATCAAACACAGATAAGAGAATTCTAGATTTAATACACATGGAAGTTTATAAAGAGGTTCTTAAATTACTGAGTTTCAGACCTCCATTCTGACATACTTTGGACTTACTTCACAGAAGCAAGCACTTCTTATAACAAGAAACCTTTGGACTATGTACCTTTCCTTCTACTTCTGCGCTTCCCTTCTTTTTTGTCCTTTGGTTTCACCTTTTTTTCTTCTTCACCAGATTCCCCGTCACTCACTGTCAGCTTGTGCCTCAGTAGCCTGTGTCTGTATCGTGGCTTCTTTGATTCTTCTACCTCTGAATCTGATTCAGAATTATCTTCCTTCTCATTCTCTTCTGTCAGAAATAAGAGTCAGTACAACATGCACACTGGTAATTTTTTCCTTACTTAAATTTGGCAAGAAGTAAAATCTGAATTAATTTAGGCTTAAATTAAGTGCTTTTCCCAGGAAATCACAAACAACACACCTTGGTTCCCTCTAATTTTAAGTATCTTACACTTCCTGAACACTTGGAATATCTGCTTCAATGACTGTATGTATTAATCAATTCTTTCCTGTGCATCTGCACATCTTCCCGTTTTTTTCAAATTATTCCTAATAAATCCCCAGGACTTCTGAATTAGTGACAAAAATCAGACTATTAACAATAAAAAAAACTCAGAGAAGAATAAAGATTATAATTCCCATAATAATGTACATTGGCCTCTACTTGGCAACTACCTATCAACATCCATGACACTTTTGTGTTGAAAGCTGAAGAAACTTTAATAATTATAACCTTCCCAAGTGACATTTGAAATTCCGACAGGTGCTACACCACCACTGTTTCCCAGATGCTTTTCAGTGCTCACCATCATCTCCTGTGTTTTCAGTTTGCTTTGCAGTTTTCTTTTTTCCTTCATCCAATTCATCATCTGAAGATGCATCCTCATCAGAGGAAAGATTGGCTTTGATTTCTTCTAAAAGCATTTTCTTGGCAATTCTTTGAAGTAAAACAGAAAAAACTATTTATTCCGTTGTTCAAGTAAATCTATGAACGATAAGTGTAATCCTATACCATTCAGAACTTCAAAAAAAGGGTTGAAAGCTGAACAAAAAGAAGACACATGATGAAAAGTCATTGTGGTAAGACAGGATATATCCGCAAAAATCTCATGTTAAATGTAATGTGTTATAAGAAAGCAAATCTGTATAATGCCTCTTAAAAAAGATGCTTCATGCTTTACTGTGAGACTTGAGAGCTATAAAAGGTATGAACCTAAACTTTGCAATTTATTCATGGTCCATCTGGATGGACTCTTGCCAGTTCTGGGATAGGCCCCTGTATGAATTCTAACTGTAACAAGAACCTTAAGATGCAGCAAACTAATACTTAAATCATAATCACTTCTAGTACTTAAATCATTACCCTCAAAAATGGTTATCATGCTTAACTGATTGAAACCTATGAGTTAATTTCCTGAGGCACTGCATCTACTGGACTAGTGTATATGTAAATAACAGTTTTAAAAAACAGCGTATCACTCAACATATTTTAAAACAAGAAGAAAAAGATTATTGCAATATGCATTAACTCACAGGTTAAAAAAATAAAATAACATTATGCCACCTGTCCAGTTGCCTGGGCCCACTCTAATGCAACAGAGATGCTCTAGTAATTGAAGCAACTCATGATGTTTGAAGATTAATTAAGTGCCTTGGGAAAAAAACCCCACACTGAATCCCTCCTATAACTACAAGCACTTGCCTTACAGCAACCAGAGCAAAAAAATACATGCGTATATACACAAAGAAGGGTTATCACCCTTCTAGAAGGGTTATCAAACATTATGGGACCTGAATGCCAAACAAAAATTACAATCTCATTTGCCATTCCACACACTGTTCACTTGGCATCTCACAGTTTCACTTCAGCACAATAATGTTTTCACCTAATGTACAAGAAGTTACTATGAAAAAATAATTTCTTCACATGCTCTTGCAACGTTCAAAAAAAAATATTTAGATGAATCTGTAACACTAATCAAAACAGAATATATCAAGTGCATGGGAAAATAGAAGTATTATCTGAGGACAGGTACTTTCAGGGAAAAAAAAAAAGTCCTGAAAGAAAAAAATCAAGCCTTCCTCATATACATTTCAGAAATGCTACAGTTTCTATTCGTTTATCATCAATTTAAAATGAAGTTAATTTTTCTTTCTAGGTAAAATCTGGTCTGCCTTGTCATTCAGGAGAATAATATAAACTGAACACAATTCAGAATGGGAAAGCTGTTATACCAGTCAAAACAACAGTTCAAAACCCAAGAAACTGAACCACAATCTAGGTTTCACTTAGAAATGGCAAAGGGGCAGTTAGCTTTAAGTATGACTTCTTATACCTTAGAAAATTATATTCTATATATAAAATAGGGCTTGAAGAGTATTTCATTTTTCAGAATGTAACATGCCCCAGAAACAAAGGAACTTTTCAAAGGGAATTTTCCCATGGTGTCTTTCCTAACACTTCTTACACTATTGTCTTTTTTTTGAGACTGTATTTTCCAAAAAGTTTCTCATGCTAATGAGTATTCAGTTATTATTAAAAGATGGAAGTAAAATGGTTTAGTAAACAGTTAAGCTTGCCCAATGAGTCACAGACTACCCATCAGCATCCAAAACACTCCCTCTCTTTTGAGACACAGCTTGCAAAGAGCTTTAAAATGCAATACCCTTGGTCAGCTTTAGTTCCATATATAAACAGATCACAGTTTGAACTCAATGAAAATTTACTGAAGTCCACAGATAAGTAACATCCTCTTCCTAACTTTTTTTTTGCACTAGAGGATTTGGAAAAGGGACCTGGTTTTTGTTCTGTTTTGTTGTTGGGTTTTCTTGTGTTTTGTTTTAAACTGATCACATAATGTATAATAGCAACAGGAATAACTAGCTCCTTATGTAAGAAATTAAGATTACATTTCTTCCATCTCTTAATGGTCATAAGACCTTTTTCTTCAAAACAAGCTGCTTGGAATATCACAGGCTGATTTCTCTTTTAAATCTTGCAACATAAATTATTAACCTCAAATCCTACTCCAGAAAATGCACACAGAAGCAGTTTGGCTCATTTTTTAATCACCAAAGTTCTGTTTTGAAAGGAAAAAAAACAACCAAAAACACTAAAAAGAACTGTAAAATTTTAAAATTCAGTCCTGAAAACACTGCCTAGTAATACTATCCTCAACTGCATCAACAAAGATAACACAACTTGTACGTGGATAACAGTACTTACCTTTTATACAGGTCACCTTAAAAAAAAACAACACTTCTGTATTTTTAAACAAAGGCTGACTTTGGTTCTTAACAAAGCAAGACATACATTTTTATTTCTTCTTTTACGAAATATTTTCAAAGAAAAAAAAGAAAGGCAAATGTATCATTAATCTAAAAATACCATGCACAAAACCTACTATCCACTAGGGGAAGATGCTGTTATTTTCCTACTAATCATCATCAGAACCACGAATCAGACCAAACTTATTTGTTTCTAATTAATTTATTTTAATAATGTTGATTAATAAGTTATTGTTTTTATACTCTGAGATAGAAAATTAAGACATTTTAAGCTACAGTAAAGGTTCAACCACTTTCCATCAGGCTGATTGATTGTTTAGGGAAAAAAAGCTATATTCTCTTCAATGTACGTTAGCATAAAAGTGTCAGAAACTGTTAAGATGCTCAGTATTTAAAAGATTTATATTTTTAATGTCTGTTAAGATTTATATCTGATGTACACACATCTGATGGGAATTTAAAGCATAAGCAATACCAGATCCAAACATATTAAGTCTTGTAAACTCATCTGACAAATGATTCATGTAACAAATAATTTGAGTGCCGGACTCTTGAAATTTATTTTAAATTAAATTATATGTGGCTCAGGATTACATATCACATTTCTTTTTTAAGATATAAACCCATTTAAAGTTATTAAGTTTCTAAGCTAAGACATTTGCTAGCTCTACCATTTTAGCATTTGCATTACCATCAATCTGCAAGTACCATAAAAACCAAGCTATGAATGTGAAAACTCCTTCGCTCACTTTCTTCCAAAGAAGCCCATGAAAATAAAAAAATAGTGGTATTTATTTGGGTCAAGAACATAAAAATTTCCTGGTGAACCAGATGTAATGGTTGAACACTATAAACAAATATAATTAAGAAGCACAGAGAACTGTATAACCTCCAGCACAGGGCTTCAGGTACTTACAAAAAAAACCAAAAAAACCCCTACAAACAAAGCAAAACCAAAACCCCCTGCATTCCCCTCCTTTCTGCCACTGACTTGCTGTGACCTTGAACGTGTTATGTTGCCTAGCTCCACTCCATCTTATCTAAACAGTTTGTGAGATTTGTATAACGGACAATTTCCCAACACATATTTATACAGTGCCTTACAGAACGGGGCTGTAATCTCAGCCAGGACATATAAAAACAACCTTAAAACAAAGTAACAGTATATAAATTTACATAAATATGGATTTCAATATATTTCACCTCTGTAAGAGTGACACCAACAATATACACTTATAAATAATGAGATGGTTACTATGTATTTTTTAACATGCTGAGACACTTTTAAAAAGAGGCACACTGGAAGTTACCCAGGGCTTGCTTAGTCTCAGTACGCAACTACTTTAACTTATCCTTCAGACATTTCAGCAAAAATGGAATAGTAGGTGCAGCCTTTCCTGATGTGGAGTTAAGTCCTCCTGATAATTTGCACCGTTCATGTTCATAAATTTTAGAGTGCCAATATGATGGACTCACAGATGGTCAAAATATTGATGAGAGAATGCTACCACTGTAAAAATTATTTTTCTCATTAAAAAGTCACATTTTAAAATTAGTTACCATGAAGTATTCATACCAATTAGATGATATAAACTCACACACAGTGTTCATAAATACCTACTAATTACATGTAGCAATAAGGTTGCCCAAAACAAGCCTTTGGGCAGGGGAGGTTATTTTTGTGTGGCTAATAAAAACCACCATTCTTTCAGCTAAAGCACCACTGAATTACGTGGACCTCTAGCATATTACAAAAAAATTTAGAACCATTTAATATATATTCTAAGATATGAATATTTGGATGTAATGTTATACATGTTTTTAAAAATAGTGAAAACTGCCAAAACCTTTGTTTTAAATACTGTACTGTCCTTGTTGGAACAGTCTGATTTTCAAGCTGTCGGAGTTGTATTAAATTAAATGCTTGGACAAGAAAAATGTTTTACAAAAATTTATTGCATCCATCAAATACTTAAAGGCATTCTGCATTAGATACACTATTAAATTCTTAATAAACAACACTACTGCAAACATATTAAACAGTACCATTTAAAAGATCAGAAGGACCAATCATAATTAATTACACAACATAAGATGAAAGCATACAGCACTGTATGTCATATTATGACCCACTTGAATATTGCATTTTTGCAAAGATGATTTCAAGACTATTAATATTCATGTCATGCACATCCAAAGGTATGCAAATAACAGAACATCTAAACTAGAGACTTGCAAACATGAGTGTTCCCACACTACAAATACCCAGTAGGTACTAGGTACCTTCTTTGGCCTGGAAGAAAATAGGCAACTTATCTGAATAGTAGGTAAACTACTTAAACACTTTGTGTTGAGTAAACAGAAAAACAAGCTTTTAATGTCTTGAAATTTGTTCCATCTTTACATTTCATATCTCTGATTCTGGTGCCAAGTACAATGCATGATTTATGTAAAAATCAGACTGCATTTACCAGAAAACGTCTGAAGGTTAACAGAACTGTTTATTGACAGAACACCTCCCCATCTCATAAATGTATTTTCAAAAATATCCCCTAAATAAAAACTTCAACAAAGGTTCAGCTTAAAAACTAAGTACAGAAACTGATTTTTAAATCCCATGTTCGTATTACTGATTTGTCTGTTTTCAATTGGGTTAACTCATTTCCCAATACAGCTCTTAAACTAATTATTAAGCTCTGTCAGTAACATTTGTGTGCTAAACTCTAAACTTTGACAAAAGTGTATTGGCTTAGTTTTCAAGCAGGAACACTTAGGAAACAAACAAAAAAGAAAAAAGAAGGAAAAAAATTAACCAAGAGAGATCGAAATTAAAGCATCACTGCATCATTTTTAAAAATCCTGCATTACCAATGTTTACAAGTCCTGCTTATGACCTGTACTGTCAAGTGCCTAAAGCTGAATTATTTGATTCATTTTTGTGACTGAAAATAAGCAAGAACTCCAACAGCAGCAACATTCTGAAGCCAAACTGAGGTCAGTAAAGGATGTAAAACAGTGCTTTTAAAATTTACGTCAGCCACAGATCAAAACATATAACTCTGAAACAAAGATACCATATTCTAAACTAGTAAGGCTCAGAAGCAGAAACACTCCATCAGCAACTGTGCAAAGCTTTGAAGCTGGTCCCCTACATGCTTTATGGCAAACAAAACCCCAACTAGTAAGTTTTTGAAATACTGTATAAAAATTTGTTGAAGAACTATTCAGTCTAACTACAATAACTTCCAAAAAGAAACTGTGGCTCATAATTGAGCAATACTTCATGTTGTGCTTTCACTCATTAGAAAACAAAGCTTTTTCACTTTCTAGCTGGGCTGATTTCGATAACTACAACGGTATTGGTAAAATAAGATGTCTTAACTAACCATATCTTACATATTCATTTATTATTTAACTTGAAACTGAAGCAATACATACAAGCCAGATTGTGAAAATATTTATGCAAAGACTTAAAATTAGTATGTGTATTTAGTTTCTTTTGATACCAGTTGAGCCTATGCACAGTGCTTGTAGAATCACGGCCTTAACTACCACATTAGCTACTTCAGGCACTCCTTAGTGGATTAAAACTTAGTGGATTAAAACAGCTGAAAGTATCTGTTTTCTCCACATTTGTGTTTTCTCTTTATTGAGAAAAGGTGTTCTAATTAAAGAAGCAAATTAGGTAACAGTAATAAGCAAGTCCGATCTGAAAATATTTTAGCACTGCATTTTGCACAGATGCAAATTTTTACCTCCTACTCATAGAACTAGCTGAAATTCACATTTATCAGAAGTAGGTTTTTACCTGTCTGAATGAAATACTAGCCACAAACCTCACACTTCCAAAGGGAACATAAAACGGACAGTGCTGCAGTGCATTTATAACACACCCTATGCAAGGTGTGTTAGCTAAACACTTCTAAATACGCTCTGCATTTCTGGATTTTGGCCTCTGTTTTCTGGCCCCTTGTTCAAACTTGCGGGAAGCCCGTGAGCGAGTCTTTACAAGGCAGGCAGCCGTGGTTTTTACAACCTGCTTGCTCTTCCGTTGCGCCGGTTTGCGCCCACGCCTAGGGTGTGTTATAATCTTTTTTAAGTCCTTATGGATGGTATCATACCTATTCTCAGGATCGTCGTCATCATCATCTTCCTCCTCCTCCATTGGAACAGTCCTTGATTTAGTCTCTCCCTCATCTCCTGGGGGAGGAAGGAAAAACAAAAACAGAAAACATGAATGCTTAATAGATGTAAAAACAGCAACAACACAGCACATCAAATACTGTCTCCATCAAGAATCCCCACATAAAAATAGCTTGGCCAACTTTTCTACCAATGAACAAAAAAGCCAGTTACCTATCTTGACACAGAAAAATCAGTATTTTTATTAACAAGTACCTAGTTTTCAAGCAGCACTTTTATCCACATTATGCTTGCTACTACGCACAACTTGCGATTATTTGCTTACAACATAATACAAAATGTGGGGGTTTACACTCAAACACACAGAGGTGGAATATTCCACTTAGGATTCAGAAACGAAGTTTCGTAAGAAGTTGTTAGCTCCATTTCAGAAGCTGCACTATTGAATTTGTGCAAATTGAAAGGAAGGCCCATACAAATATAATACAGAATCACCAAATATGAGCTACCCTGATGCCACAAAGAAGCACTTGAGAACAATAATTTTTGCCTTCAGAGTCTCAAATACACTACATGTACACGTCATGTATGGGTGAAGACTTTTTGAAAACTACATGTGCTGCCCTTGCTGCAAATATCAAAACGCAGCTGCACTATATGGATACTCTCTCATATGGAAAGCACATCAAAACCAACAGCATGGGACACATAACAGGAAGAACAGTATGGTCTGGTATCTGCCTTTAAGCTTCTCTGCACTCACCTGACTGAAATGAAAGGAATCCAGACTATTCTTAGCATAAATGGCAGTTCCTTTTCTCTTGTTATTCTGACTTGTAAGTCAGTCGTATCTGTTAGTAAAACTAAGCTTAGGAAACGAGACCTCAAAATCCTAAAGGAGCAACACCCCCTCCTCATCCATAATTTCTATTGTGGGGAGTAAACTAGAACTGGGCTACGAGAGCCTTGCTTCAAGTTGCTTCAACGTCTGTTTGTCCTGGATTTACCATGAGCTAGATGTCTGACAAGATTGTATAAGGTGAACACAGAAAGTCTAGCACTCTTGGGCTTAGATACATAGAAGTATCCTATGGCTTAATCAGATTCTAAGTCACCTTAAATTATCAACCTATATAGTTTGTTCAGACACATGAGAGACTCCCTTATCTATTCACCTATTAAGCCAAAAACAAACAGAAGAGAAAGCACAAGTTTGCCTCCTCTTAAAATAACGTATCAAAGGCAGATTCTCATAGAATCCCACAATAACTAAGGTTAGAAGAGAGCTCTAGACACAATCTACTCCAACTCCAGCCTCAAAGCAGAGGTAACTCCAAAGTGATATAAGTCTTCTAAAGGTCTTGACCAGTTTAATTTTGAGTGTTTCCAAGGACAGGGATTCCAAAATTTGACTATTTGCAGTGTCCCACAGCAGGGACATCACTGGGGAAATTACAGTTGTGACAGCCATCAAGGAGAAGCCCTGAAAGTCTCAGTATTACATGCAGAAAGATGCAACTAAACTTACTTTCTCCAAGGGTCTTGAAAAACAAACATTATAGGACTGTAATAAGGAACTTGTTTTCCAACTGTTTCTCTACAATAATGCAAAACACCATTAATCAAACTTCGCTTTCTTATAGGGCTCTAAAACTAAAGCAGCACAGCATCTGTGAAAAGCAACCTTTGCACCTGCAAATAACAGCCTTCCAGAAAGTAAACTGCAGGAAAACTTAGGGACCAAGTGGGTCAGCATCAAGTTAGTAGGAAAAAGGAAGAATATTATGTTTCATTTAAAATCTGGGTATTTTGTTTACCTGGGGGATTGGGTTTTTCCTTTTAAGAAACTACAACCAACAATAACCTCATTTTGCCCCTGCCTAAAAGGCTTTTTGGGAAAACCAAAATGCAACTATGTGCCTTCTGCTATCTTCACAAACATACTGCTGTTCTACTCTTTTTTTTTTTTTTTTTTTTAGTTGCAGTTTTGCAAACTACTGTAACTGTTAGCTCAGATACAGCAAAATCATGTACAGAAAGTTCTATGAAACATCATTAGAAGCAAACATAGGACACAATTTACTTGTCATGGTCATTAAAACAGTAAATCTATTTCTTTTTCTCAGATTGAAAATTCATTATTTAAAATGTGTACTGTCCACATAATGTGAAAACTACCCTTCCTTTTCAAGTTCTTTAAAACCAAGTGTTCAAATACTGCAGTTCCCCATTTCTTTTTAACTTCCTAAAGATACAAGACACTGATTAAATAGTTCCACCTTGATAAGAATTATTACTGTTAAACCTGCTATGAAAACAGTAAGCAATGACAGATTTCTGTTAATTGACACCAGCTGCTCTAAGGCTACATGGGTCTTGTGAGGCACAAAGATCACTTGATTTTTAAAATGCCACAAGTCTGAAGTGTCACCTCTAGTGCCATAACCACAAGCTGACAAATTTGAGTTCACTAGATACCTACTGCTTAAAACCAGTTCCTGCTACATAATCCAGGGCAAAGAGAGG